ACAAATTTCTAATATATTATGAAAAATCACAATTCGATATCGACGAAGAATTAAGAAAATCATCTTCATTTTTATTTTTTAGTATGTAATTTTAAAGATTAACTGTTAATGAATAAAGTCACATTTCTTTTTATTAAAATTAAAACTAAGATTTTTCAGGATTTTAACAACATTTTCACTGTATTGTTCCATGATTTCTTATGAAATTTTTCGAGTGCATCAACTCATAAGCTTTAGTTACACTTTAAACCATTGCAATTCATGTTTGTAAAATAAATAAGAAGAATTTTATGTACGGTTTTATGACGACACTCGAATTCGAAACCACGAGTAGAAGCAATTAAACGGTATATTGTCATACTTGACATTTTTCGGAGGGCTACTGCAGATACGACGTTATCACTGTTGGATTCTTCGGTTAAACATATAATATTCGATATCCATAAAACGTAATCTCAACCGTTAACAACCGTCTGCGAAACAAACACGTTTGAAAACGATTTATTAATTTTAACGTTATAAATGGAATGCGCATAACCGGTCATAATAATACGGTTAGGTAACGTTTTTCTCATGGGTATACGTTTTGCACCACAACACGTTACCTGCTAACAATATTATACAAGGTACCTAGGCACTGATTACAATTGCTGTTCACGTATTTAGAGCATTTTCAGTGTTGGGCTGCTGATCAGGTTTTATGTTTCGTCAGTAATATTATATACCTTTAGAACATACATATAATACGTTGGTACATTAAACGCGTCACCGTTAGTAGAGATACACGTCGTTTGGACGTTTTGCATCGTCTGCCACAGCAGTACAGCACGTGGTCGCATCCTTTTTAAGTTATGTGACGTACCGCCACCGTATTTTTTCATTGAAGTGCAACTATAGCAGGGCCATATTTAGGAAGTGAAATGGGGACATTTGTCCCGGGTGGCAAAATATTGATCTGTTTATGGGAAGGACCCGGCCGGGCACTGCTGTAGTCTGTAGCCCGGTATAATATTGTATCAATAAATATTATTTTTTTTTTTTTTTTGGAAAGAATTTGTACTATGATATGGCCATAGTTTGATGGCGTCATATTTTGTCAATCAACGATAACTAATAATTATTAAAATTATAGTTAAAAATATGTTAAGAAAAAAGTGATCTTTTTTTTTTGGTGGGGATGGGAGGCGTAAAAATATGGTTGATCCAGAGTGCAAAATGTTTAAATTTGTTGTTAAAATGTTTAAATTTTCAAAGCACTTTTCATAATTTATCTATACATTTTTAAATATTAGGTTATTTTATTGGCTGATACTGAATTGGTTCCGAAGCTCCAAACCCACATGCCGAATTGGTTCCCAACTGAAAAAAGTATTTTATTAGGTATAACCGAATTGGTTCCCGATTGAAAAAGGTATTTTATTAAGTATAGCCAAATTGGTTCCCGTTTAATGACGCACATTTTCCTTCTCAATTTTAAAGGCTTAGGACTGTCAACTTTAAAGTAGGGTTGGTTAAAAATATGCGTAAATGTGCGATAAAAAAAAAAAAAAATGATAAAATATCTACAATTTTAAACCGTTAATTTGGAAGTCAACTTGTCATCACTTTAAATAGGTTTTATGTTACCTCCCCCTTGAGTAGGAATAAATTCTTTAACGCCCCCTATGTTAAAATTCTATAATTAATGGTATGGGCTGAGAGATAGGAAAGAAGTTAATGATTTGGAAAATTTGAGTAATTATCTCATAACTAATGTTTTCATTTATGTTTTATTTTTGTTGCCCGTTGTGCTTTTGATCCACGGTCGTTGGTCAATCGTGTGTGTGTGTGTGCGTCAACACGTCATTTTGGATATTGTTGACCTCGTGGTCATATTTTGCCGCCGTGCGTCCTTACGTTGCGTCCCCGTTTATCGTGTTGGTCGACTGGTGGACACCGGTAGTGTGCCATCACCGTGCACGGTTTTAATTCACCTGCTTTTGTGCACGTTTTCACGTGGTTTTCACCCGTGGTCCTGGTTACTAGTCGGTTCGTCGTGAGCGTCGCGTACGCTAGTAGTACCAACTTCGTTCCCGATACGGGCCACCCATCGCCACGATTGTTGTCCGTTGCAGTCTGCTGGTTGGTAGCACTGCTGATCGACGTCGCCCTCTAGGAATCACGAGCTAGCGTTTATTGTTTCGGACCACTATCATCATTCCATTAGATAAGATTGTTTATTTATCTATTGATTATTTGCAAATCTTAATAATAATAAGTTTGTTTTATACCCAAGTGCACATTATTAATTTGGTTTAACATTTTTTTGGCCTTCTATTGTTCTTGAACATCACATTCCTGCTCTCATCACATCGTATAAGATTCTTCAAAGCGCACGTTCGTGCGGCCGGCTGGTGACAAATATTTTTCAAAGGCTCCGCGACGGTGCGTTCAAACAATATAGAGTCTATACTATAGACCTTTGCCTAGATGAGTCGATGTATTTTTGCTAGATTTCCAATCGCTTACGGTTTTGACTATATCCGCTACCCCACAGGCCAGTGAACTTAATGCCGAAAATCCTGCAAAAATAGGTATTAGTGGTAACACTTCACCCATTTTGGGGATAAATATGATTCTTGATGTTTGATTTTTCTTGACATTTTTACATGAAATCTTTTTAACTACCACAAGACATTTTCGAGCTAATTTCATAACATTTTTTTCACCTTTATTTTTCTTAAGTATATTCTTAACAGTCTTGATTGCTGATATGAATTTGAAACCGCTTCCTAATTTGCGTTTTAACTTCATTGCAGTGGTAACACCCCAAGCAACCACTTTTTCTTTTAAGGATGAGTCTTTCGCTTTAACCTTGTCTCACGCTTTATTTTCTAAAACGTAGTCTGCTTTTTTACGCTCGTACAGTGCGTTACTACGATCGTACGTTATATCATGGTCTTCGCAATAAGAATCCAGGGTGTTTACGCCGCAATCACCGCGGGCTAGACATTTTTTTAAAATCGTATCAAGTCCGAAGTACCGATAACCTATAAAAGAAAACAGTTATGTAATACAAGTATTTTCAAAAACAGCAATCTAATTACCAGTTACATGCAGCTCAACAGGAATTTTGTTTATAAGCGAGTTGATAAGATCACTTCCTTTATTCTTGTAGTTTCTGCGGCGGGGTGACATCGTGTAATTGTAACCTAGTTGGAATTCGTGCATAAATATTTATACAAAAAATGCGTTTTATGGATCAAGAGGTAAAAATATCAGTCGGAAATGTCGATCCTTATACGTTTATAGTATAGACTCTATACCGTCAAGACATGAAGTGCTATTACTGAACACCATACGTGCGATCAGCAATCAAAGTCATGACTTCCGAAGGTGAGCTTATAGCTGATCAATTAGCTAAAGCAAAAGAAAATATCAGACGTAAATACTCGGCGTTTAAAACATGGTGAATCTGAAGCTCGTTATTTTGTCTCAGAACGATAAATCTTCGAACCTCTGGAAAAAATATCAGCTCTATCGAATCAATAAAAAATACCAACCGATGAAGTTGCTGCAAACGAATTATCAGGAAAACCGATTTCGGTTGACATTGAAAGCTGGTTTCATTTTCAAGCCAAAGATAAAACATATGGACCGAAAAAACTATCGAACGGTATTATTAAACTAAGTGATAAAGAAATTAAATTCAACGGTAATATGATAATTATTGAAAGTAACACACCAGGATTTATAAATTTGTTGTTTTCAAAACATCCTTTTAGATATACTCAACAAGAGTTGGAAGTATATAAATCTATATTAACTCAAATTTCAGCTCATCTAACCTTAGACGGGGCAAAGATTAAAAGTGGTGGGGATAAATATAGAAACATTATTACTAAATTGTTTACAACCGGCAGTGGACTATCTATGAGATTACAGAAACATAATTTAGTTTATTGGGACGACCCGAACGAGCTTGTCGATCGCCTTAGACTTCTATTAGCCTCACGATCCGCGGGTAATACAGGAGTTTCGAACGAAATATTATCTATTTACGAAGAATTACATGAAGCCGAAATAATAAAAAGAATTCCTGATGTCTAAACGTGAGATCGCGTATGAGTTGCATAAAGTGGCAAGAAAAAATTATACCAGTCGTATAGTTAATGTTTACGGAAAAAATGATTTATGGCAGGTAGATCTCATTGAAATGATACCATACGCGAAAAAAAATAAAAGTTTTAAAAACATTTTGTGTATTATCGATTGTTTTACAAAATTTTCTTGGGCAATACCGTTAAAAACAAAAACCGGTAAGGAAGCTACCAAAGCTTTTTCTACAATATTACTCGATCGTTCTCCCAAACTGCTGCAAGTCGATAACGGGAAAGAATTTTATAATAAAACATTTGACGCCTTAATGAAAAAGTATGAAATTAAAAAATATTCGACGTTTAGCACGACTAAAGCGTATATCATTGAACGATTTAACCGAACTTCAAAAGAAAAAATGTTTAAAAAGTTTACCGCTAACGGATCACATGAATGGATTTCTATTCTACCAGTGTTAATGAAAAATTATAACAACAATTCAATACATCAAATTATCGGAACGACACCGATGCAAGCAGATAAAAACTACATCGATCGTATTAAACCAACGTAAGATTCCCGAAATAATATATAAATTCAAGGTAGGTGAAAAAGTTCATATAAGTACCCAAAAAGGTGTTTTTACTAAAGGATATCTACCCAATTGGTCGACGAAAATATTTACAATCAGCATAATAAATAACATTTTTCCGATAACATATAATCTTCAGGATTATACCGGTAACTCTTTATCAGTTTGTTTTTATTCCGAGGAAATATCTAAAACCACGTATTCCAGACAATTATTTACTCGAGAAAATAATTTGGAGAAGGGCTAATCAGTTGCTTGTCAAATGGCTTGGGTTCGATGAGAGACATAATAGCTGAATAGCAGCCGCTATCAGAAAATAGTCAGTATCGCGATGAACGTGTTTGGTACAATTATTGATGGTGAGAGAAGAAAAGCAATGTCCAGGATCGAAGAAACAAATGAAATACTCACATATAATCTAGACAAGATCAAAAATTTGCTCGAGAAACAAGAAGTCAGCATTATAACCCTTTTTAACAATGTACAAAATACACTTAGCCGAGAAAAACCGGTCCGGTTAATGCGATATTGCGTTTTTCTCGGCTTTTCTAGAAGCTTCTAATCGACACCACCACCCCCCGCACTAACGACCTGTTATCGCTACTCCGAGCACCGGGCCGTCGGAATATTGCGATGCAAGTCAGTGTCGTGCGTCCTCTCGCGCGGTGAGCCGTACACCGTCGCTACCGTATCGTCGTGCCGACAAATTACGCTTGTTTACGCGACTAGTGCCGCGTTTCTACGGGTCATCGTTCCCGTGTCGTAGTGCCTACTGTCCGCGCGTGGGTTCATTACGCGCCGAGTGTAGCCCCCGTGCCGTTGTTGCCGTGTCGTCGCGTTGTGCCGCTGCGTCGTGCAACCCGACGCAATTCGTTCGCGCGACATTTTCGTCGTGTCGCATCCGAAGTGCCCAGCCGTTATTTGCGGATCAACACGCGGGTTTTTCCCAAGCCACCAGTCAGAGCTGTTCAGGTGATTCCGGATCGACTTCAACTGCCGTCAAGTTGGCCATTCTGGACCGGGTGACAATTTGTTATCAAGTTATCATACTCGTATTGTCAATATTATTATTTTATGATTTGTATGTAATCTCAATTGATTATTATTCATATTAGTATTATTTATATTTTCTGGGCGCCCGCTTAATTATTTGTACATATTATGTTCAATTATTTTGTAGTTTTCAATACATTTATTTCGCGCAAAGCGCTATTACAATTTATCGTGTAATATATATATATATGTATACGTATATATATATATATATATGAAGGTCACCTTGTCCTGTCCCGTTTGATTCTAGTTTCTAAGAATAAGAAGCCAAACCACAAAAGCAGACGAGGGTTAATTCCCAAGTAAAAGGAGACTGTCTGCATTAGAAGTTCTTTTTTATCCTCCTTTTACAAACAACGAAGACGATATAAGAATTCAACTAGAGATATTATATCGATGCAAACAGATTTCCAAACCAAGTTAAATCATATTAATTTTTTAATGAGTCTATGGGTGACTTCAGAATACTGATAAATAAAATTAATTCAAATATTATAGAGTTGGACAAACGGGTTAATAACGTTGAAAAATATTCTACGGTTAATTTAATCGAAACAAATAGAGGTATTAACATATTATCCGATCGAATTTCTAAAGTAGATAAACGTATCTCTAATTTTTAAAGTATTCGTACAGATAAATAATGTTTTCAGACTTGATATTACCTGCTGCGAAAGCTATGGTTTCTGCAATGATCGACGAAAAAGCTGCAAATAGCTTAAATAAAATTGCATTGTCAAATGATACAGTAAAAAAACGAACTGATGGTTTATCAGGAAATATTAAAGAACAGTTGTTAAGAAGAATCAATAAAAGTGACTACTTTAGTCTCCAACTTGATGGAAGTACCGATATAACTAATAAATCAGTATTACTGTTTTATGCAAGATACGAATACGAAAATGTCATTTCCTAAGACATTTTATTCGTCACCACTGTAGTACATACAACGGCAGAAGAAATATTTTGTAAAATTAATGAATTTATTATAGTGAATGTAATTGAATGGACTAAATGTGTAGGAGTAAGTATAGATGGTTGTAATGAACTGAACACGTCGAGTTTTATCATAACAAAATAAGTTTATTCATAAGCATAATTGTTTTACAAAAATGTATAAGAATATATGTATAAATACATAACATAACATTTAACATAACATAAGATTTAACATAATATAACATTTAACATAACAATTAATATTTAATATGTTTATAACTTACGGCTCTGTAGCACTTTGAAGTCAAACGATAATTTATAATATAATAATAAATAATGATATTATTATTAAATGTTGCGGCGTAAAAAGGAGACACGAATGTAGCACGGAGTTCTATAACTATGAATAATAGAATAGTCAAAGGTGTGGGGTGGTATTACGGCCACACCGGATTATTTACTTACCCACGCAATTTTTATTTTAAAAGAAAATGATTTACGCGCCGAAAATGTCGATGAAAACTAAGATTGTTTTGGTGGGGAACGATGACATCGGTGGGAAGATATTTGTAGGCCAGGCAGTCCGACAGACGGGGTTTTAAGGCCGTAACCTGGACTCTGAACCTTTAGTAATATCTCACAACCGATATTTGGTCAGAAAGAAATGACGAATTGGTCTGTCGATCTCATATATATGTGTATTTGGTGGTTATTGATTTAATTTCCTGGGTGAGTAAAAGGTACATGTTTCATTTAATAAGTTTTTTATAGATTAATGTATATTGCTTTTGGAGATATTAATTTATTGTGCATTGGAGGCGTTTCCGAATTCTACTATTTATTTACTGTTAAAGAAAGTTGAAAACTTATTATTAATTGTATTATGAATTTTATGTTTTTAATATTATATCGCGCCAGCGCTATCTACCGACGTCGCAGTGCGAGACCGACGGGTCTATGCATGACGTCATAAGGTACCGGTGGCGTGGCATAGCGGATGGTGGTAGGTGTGTGTGATCGTTACATGGTGCTCGCGCAATGTCAGGAAAATTTACTGGATTAATTACACGAATTAGAAAAATCATACCATCAGTCACATGGCATCATTGTTGCATTCATCGCGAAGCCATAATTTCCAAAAAAATACCAATACATTTGAAAACAATTTCGGACGAAGCTGTAAAAATTGTGAACTTTATAAAAGCAAAATCACTGAATTCAAGAATTGTTGAAAAACGTTGCAAATACATGGATAGTGAACATTATCAAATTTTGTTGCACTCTGAAATTCGTTGGTTATCTCGAGGTAATGTGCTCTCTCGTCTATTTGAATTGAAAGATGACGTAAGATTATTTTTAATCGAACATAAATCATTTTCGTTGAGTAAACGCATGAATGATTATTCTTGGTTGGCTACTTTAGCATATCTATCAGATATATTTACTCATTTAAATGCACTTAATTTAAGTCTTCAAGGAACACATGTTACAATATTCAAAATTGAAGATAAGATTGAAGCAATGATTAAAAATTTAGAACTGTGGAATCTTCGGCTGTCAAAGAAGAACTACGATCCATTTCCAAATCTCAAAAATTTTATTGAATCAACTGAAGAAGAATTGTTAGATAAAGATTCTAAGTATTTCAGACAACATATGGGTGATATGCAACGTAGCTTCCATGATTACTTTCCTGTTCCAGATATAAGTAGAAATTTGATTCGACAACCTTTTGAAATTGATATTCATCAAATAAATAGACTGACAACATTGGAAGAAGAAAACCTTGTAGACATTTTTACAGATACAAGTTAAATATTAAATTTAAAAAAATGTCATTAGAAAATTTTTGGTTGCATGTTTGAAAAGAGTATCCACAATTATCAAGTAAAGCTCTGAAAATTTAAATTCCATTCCCCACCCCTTTTTCATGTGAAAAAGCCTTCTCCGCCCTCGTTTATATTAAGAATAAGTTTCGAAATCGAATAGAAAACGTAGAATCTGAATTACGATTAAAGCTTTCAAATTGAAATGCAACATCAACCATCGCATTGACAATTGATTAAGTTAATAAAAATTTAGTATTAGGATATTAAGAATAAAATAATTTACAATATTTTTTTTTAAATTTAAGTGTTTAAAATGAAAAATTAAGTTCAATAAAAATAATTATAAATGTGTATATTTTGTTAAGTCTACTTCTATAATTTGTAATATAAAATAGTTATATGTTAATAATATTTTGGTTATGATAACTTGATATGATCTGTAAAAAAAGGTATTCCACAAAAAATTGGTAGGAGGTCCGCGATTTCTAAAAATCTTTCATCGGGGGTCAGTGTTCTACAAAAGGTTAAGAACCGCTGTCTTAGTATATTATTGATTCTGAAGAAAAATTTCATTTGCTGTAGTCCATGCGTAAAAAATGAACAAGTGCAATTCTTCCATACTTATATGTATACTCAAGTGTTTTTATTTAAACAGTACATTTAACAAAAAACCTGTTTTTTCCGTTTTAAAAAATCGGTAAATAGTAGTTTAATACATAACGTATAACATAGTTAAATCTATGAATTACTTTGATTGGTATCTTTTAGTTTTCAATAGTAACGAATTAGTATATTCTATGAAACAATAAAATGTATTTGCTTAAGCTTCTAGTTCTTCAAGCAGTACAAATACTCGTCCGTGCACCAGAACCATCGGTAAGTACAAATTTATCCCATGAGAGACATGGTAAAAATGAATTGATTGATTCAACCCAAACAAATAATCTGGAAAAAAAACTGGTTGTTGAGGTCGACAAGTATTTCAGTCGGGTGGAAAAAGATGACTCATCAAAATTTATCAATCACTTAAAGGGTTATAAATGTGGTAGTTTAATTCGAGATATAGATGTTCAAAAATTAGAGTACAATATATTTATGATTTTAAATCGAATGTATAATCGTTGGGATAGAAGACTTCCTGAGAAGAAGTATGCTTTAGAAGACATAGATCATGAAAATACAATTGTTAAACTATTTAAATCAGAGTACGTACAAACAATATGTAAACATATTCCACGATGTCTTGATTTCATCTACATTTGTGCACCTACTTTTAAAAATTTAACAATTATATTTTCATTATATTCGGACATTTGTCACTTACGCGATTTATATGTTTTAAAATATGATGATAAAGATAAAATCCCCGATAACAATGAAAATTTTACCAATATTGAACATGAACGTATAAACTCGTTATACGAAAGTCTATCTAAAATTAAGTTTATTCTCTTAAAAACCAATCACTTTACCGAAATAAATGACATGAAATTTATAAAAAAAATATACAAAACAATTAATGAAATTGATAAAACAAATATGATACCAAGTAGTAATTGGTATAAAAAATCGATTTTAATTTATTATTCACCACCAGAAATGTTAAAAATTCGTTATTTCAGAACTGAACATTTGATTATTAACGATATGAATAAAAATGAAATTCACGAACTCATTCTTGGGTTAAAATTCATCATTTTACATGTTGGGAAAGCATTGTTAAACTCTAATAATAATTATGAAATACCAGAATCAGATGAAAATTTCATAATTAGTTACAACTTGGCAATAAATGAATTATTACTTAAGGTTTTCCGGATAATAAAACATCATTTTCGAAACATGGTTTTAAAAGCTGTTGAAGAGTTTTCAATACAAGAAAATGAAACGAGCGTTATCTATAAGGTTCCGTTTGACAAAGTATTGTCGAAGGGAGAGTTTAAAAAAATTTGTAAAAAGACTCCTTTAATTCTGTATTATTTGTACAGTGCTCGTATCACCGATCTAAACGTATTCAGTTTGTATTTAACAATATGCAGTAATTGGCATGAGTTTTTAAATAAACGATGTATATCCTATAAAACAAACTGTGGAAGGTGGATGTACGATTCGCAATGTGTATCACAGTCGGTAAATGAAAAACTAATGTTAAACTATTATATGATTACACAAAAGGCGATATATGATGAAAACAATATGATTAATTTTCCAAATCTAAATTTTACGGCAGATATTACTCGAAGTATCTATAATAAATTGAAAAAATTTTACAAAAATAAGAAGATATATTTATGGACGTCATTTGCTTGGTTAAGCTCAGCATACATTTTTACTCAAAATCTAAATTCCGACGATTTGAACGAAATAAGAAAGCAGACAGTAACACTCGGTTTGGAAAATATACCAATAACGATGCTGTATGATCAACTTTTACCATGGAATGCAAATTTAAAAACACTAATAGATTTTAAAACCCTAGTCGAAAATTTCTTTATTCAAAAGTTATGCCAATACGTTAAGAGTCAAGCAGAATATATTTATATTTTCTTTGTATTTACGAACGTAAATGATGTCAATGATAGTGTATTCACGCGGCTGCAAAAATCTACTAAATGGTATAAATCGGGAACACAGGAATTGTTTAAGTTAATGGAATCGACCATTGAGGGGTTTAAAATTCCCGATGAAATTAATTCGGTTATCGAAGCAATTGAAAAAATTAGCGTTCATACGATTGATGAGTTCAAGGATTATATGGATAATATGACAGAGGATTATGAAAAAAATTCGAGGTTGAATGATATTTTATCAAGTATGGATTCTGATGATGTAATTCAATTGAACAAAGGTTTTTTAAAAAACTGTGTTGATGCTATAAATTTTATAAATAATTATATTGTGTTTTTAAATAGTACCGATGGACTTCCTGATTTATTGGAAACTTATGATGTTCAAGAACTTTGTAAAAATGGCAATTTAGATAGTGTATTTATTACAAATTAATACATTTTCAAAGTTTCCCGTATGTATTTTCCATCAGACGTGTATTTAAAATAATTTCTAGGGGAGGGGGCGACTATCATTTTTTCTTTAATTCAGGCTCAAAATTTAGAAGTAAAATGTTTGTTAATATTTAAATCAGGTCAATCCTTAATATTTGTGATTTTTTTTTTTTTTTAATCTAATGCCGTTTCCACTTAGAATTGACTTTTGTGTAGTTCTTTTTTCACACCTAGCTGTGTTTTGAAAGTTTCGCTTTTATTTTATTTGATTTTTTACTAAGTATGAACCACGGCTAAAATCAAAATAATATTTATTGTTTATTATTATGGGACATTTAAACGTTATAATCAATTGAACGTTTAACGCTAAAAATAATTTATACTAATTTCAATTTAATTAAACGCTTAGATTAGGTTATTAATTCTAAGATAAATTACTGAGGAAAAATAGAATGAGCAATAATGTATTTTACTGATAATAACTAATTATTTGTTCCTTTATTTGCATTTGTGTATTACAATTGTTAAAAAAAAAAAATTAAAAGATTTATTATCAAACAAATAAATAATTTTTATTTTTTTATTTTATATAAATGTATTAAAACTATGAAGCTTTATAGTAATCAAGGCAAGTTTGTATTATAATAAAATATATTATGGTCTTTGCATATAATCTGTGCGCAATTAATATATAATTTAGTAGCCTTATGATTTTTCAAGTGGTTTCAAAAAATATGCCCTTTAGAAGATCGTTACCGTTGTATATCACCCACTTTATGAACTGTTATGTTTTACTAATGTTTAAGTGTATATTTTATTTTATTTCGTTAAACAATATCATGTTAATATGGTAGATATTCGATTTGTACTTGCATTAATTTATGAGCCACTTTTTACCAAAAATACAAGTCTTGTTTTTCTTAATGTAGTAATTTCTTGGAAAATTATTTATGTTTTTAATCCACTGATGTTTGACATTGAACAAAATACTACTAATTGCTAGCAGTACATCACCGTGTCATAGTGTAATTCTTGGTCTTCTCTTTATTCATTGTCTGAAATGTCACTGTTAAAAATGTTTGAATTTCTGTTGATTTTCATCAAATTATATCTATAGTGGCCTGCTGAAATTTTTTTTTGGCCTGGCTTCTTTTTAGCATACCCTTCAAAAAGTTCAAATGACGCCCCTGCTTTAGGCACATACCCCGACGCAGTATATTACGAAGACGATGCACCCTGATAGCGAGGTGGCTGGTGATGCATCATCAAAATGCCATGGAAAAAATAACTGATCGATGACAGATGTCAACCTTGTTGGGTTAGGGAGAACAGACTTCACGGTTGCGTGGGTCATCGATCAATATCGACGTTAAACCTCCTTCGATACCGTGGAGGTTATCTGAGCGGTGTCCCTCCATTATCGAAAATTATGTAAACAAATAAAACGAAAAAAAAACCTACAACTTTAGGTATATATTTATTTATAAAGTCGGATAGTACGGTCCAATGTAATACTTAACGCATGATATGGTACAGTCTGGGCTAATACAGACTGAACATTACGGTCCGGACCATTAACGGTCCAAAATGTTTTATGATCGCACCGACAGTCCGTCCACGGTCTACTTTATTAAATGTTATTTAATATCTGGTCGGGTCTAGTCTAAAAATAATATGAAGCCATCGGTTTGGTCAAATTTTGGTCTTTGATTAACGTTTATGTGTGGTCCTGTCCGACTTCCGTCTCCTGGAAAGTTTTGAAGTTCGGTCTGTTCTTTAAAATAACGGACTGTGCAGAGCACTAATATATATATATGTCTATATCACAATTTATTCTAAAGATTGAAAACTATATTTATCAGTGAAATTATTTTAATAATAATTCTGATTAATCTGACAATTTATAATGAATCAAATTTTTATCATAAGTATAATATTGTTGTATTATACAACTTGTATATAGCCTCTTTTGCCTACTTGAAGATTAGTTTTTTGTCAAATCAAATTAGTTATCAAATACCATAAGGATGTGTACAAACAATATTTAATTTGGAGTTTGAATTCCTTTTAGAATTAAAAAAATGATTTTTGGCCAACTTTTCACGTTTTTCGACCATTGGTCGTGGTCTCTCACGGAAAGTTATCCGCATGGTGTTTACTTTTTTCAACGTAACTGTATATTTCACTTGTGCATAGGTATAGTGCCGAAAGTTTCGGTAGACCTAATGCGCTACTGATCGGAAGTTTTTGGAAAAAAAAATCAACATAAATATTTAGTATGAGTTGTAACGAAGTAGGTAACATTTCTACTTAATAAATATTTCCTTTTTGTTCATATTAGAAAATGAATTGTGCTTTATTATAGCATATAAATAATACTTACATGCTCTGTTTAATTAATCTTTTGATGGAAGTGGATTAAAAAAAACCTCGATTTGTGTTTGTATTATGGTTAGAAATTATGCTCTTAAGGACTTTTATTATAATCGACCTAAACATCAAAATATCACTTGCATCAACTCCGTCTAATGGACATAGTAAAGGTATCTATTACGATGGAGTGAGTAATTGTTTCAATGGCTACGTACACACCCGAAATTTTATAAATCATTGACGATATTAATTATAAAATTCATAAAAATGTTATTGTGATTTAAAATTATAACTAAAATCGTAAAATTTATATGACTATTAAATCAAAATAAAAAAAGACTGATATAGATAAGCGAAATTGAGCTAAAATCTAAAAACAAAATTTAAATTTATATCGAATAATTTATTTCAATTTGAAGTCAGTTTAAGATAATATTTTTTTGATACAAACAAATTCATACAGTCAAACTATTTTAAATATTATACATTCATGAAGATTTTCACATGTACTACGTAGTAAACTCATGACGAACAAAACAGTTTAACATTCCACCATCAAGAAATCAAGAAACTGTACCAAAAATAAGGTTTACGCAATACCATTTATCGCTTGAAAAAGGCGCAACATGCGTAACTTATGTATGCGTTGTATATAGACATTAATTGAATATTTATAATTGTTGGGTACAATTCGGGAATGATCAAGAAGGTTCTCAATCATTCTATTGATGTATCCGTATCACCGCGTTAACGGTCGAATTTTTCTAGATAACGATAAACCCCTTCCCTTCACTGACCTATTCTCGCCGCCGTACCCGATATATATATATATATATATATACGGGTCGCCGCAACTGGTCGGTGTGTCGTCGTTTCCTTTGTGTTGGTTGTTGCCGCGTGTATATTTTGTGATATCGTGTTATTTACGTTACGTTGGTGGTTGTCACGTAATATTTATCGTCGGCTCTTGCAGTGGTGCAGTACGCGGTAATATTTGTTTATTATTTATTTATTGATATAATTATTATTATTTTATTATAATTATTCATTATTATTTTATTTTATTCTTATTACATGTTTCATTTGTTAATATATATTATAACAATTTACTAGATTGTAATTTTTTATATATACAAGAAAGGTGTATAGAAACGGTCCACTCTTTTTATCGGAGCTTGGTTTCCCCGAGCAAATAGACTTGTTCGGGACCTCGCTCACACATTTTTGGTCCTTCGAGCCGGATACAGTGTTGACAATATGGCTCCATCAAAGTCTTCTAAACAAGAACTAACGCGAGCACGCATCGCACGAGATGCGACGTTAAATTCCACACGGAAAATACATGCGTAGGTCATGGAGGCGAACATGGACGAACAAAAACGACCAATATTTATCGCACGACACAAGACATTAGAACGTGCGGTGAAGTCGTTTGAAACTGAACAAAGAAATATTCTTTCATCACCGGTTGAATTAAACAGATTTGATGAATTTACAAGTTTGGATATAGAAACTACCGAGAATATGGAACAACTGTGTGGAGAAATTCGAGTGGTGTTCACTAAAATACGTGGATATCCTTCAACTACGCAACAAGATGCAATGGTAGGTCGCGAGAATGCGTTTAATGTTCATGCATCATTTTCGTTGCCGAAGATAGAGCTTCCAAAATTCGACGGTAGTCTTATCAACTGGTTCACTTTTCGCGATATGTTCACCTCACTAGTGTATGAAAATCGGTCAATAACGGATGTAGAGCGCTTTCATTATTTGGTGTCTTGTTTATCAGGATCGGCTTTGAACATTGTCAAGTCGGTTCCGCTAACTTCGGATAATTACGCAATCGCCTGGTGTGCGCTTCGGAATCGTTATGATAACAAACGACTTCTTGCGATAGCACATTGTGATAAATTATTTTCGTTTGGACGCTTACAACAGGAATCGGTATCTTCGTTATTATCAGTTTTCAATACCTTTCGCGAGAATGTGGCCGCGATGAAGGCACTCGGTACCGTTGATTTGTCTGGATTCTTGCTATTCTATATCGGTGCCCGTATTATTGACCCTGATACTCGTCGATTATTTGAAACAAGTTTACCTCAAGAAAGAATACCAAGCCTGGATGAGTTATTGGATTTTGCCGACAATCGATGTAAAATATTTGAAAATTTCGGCGCAAACACGACTACGCTGTCAGTAGGTAACAGTAGTTCTAGGAAGGGCAAGGGTAGCCAGACGCCCGTGAAGACTTCATTATCGACTACTGCCACTTCCAGGAACAAATGTTCATTTGGCGAGCGTGATCACCCGTTATTTCGTTGTTTAGCGTTCAAGAAGAAAACTGTGGTGGAACGGCGGGAGTTTGTCACTAATAATGAACTATATTTTGTTTGTCTACGTCCGAATCATGAAGAAAACTCTTGCAAGTCGGAGTACTTATGCAAACTTTGTGAAGGACGACATAGTGTACTGCTCCATGTAGATTGAAAAAGGGTTATAGGATAACAATTTACTAGACTGTATTTTTTTATATATACAAGAAAGGTGTATATATACAGTCCACTCTTTTTATCGGAGCTTGGTTACCCCGAGCAAATAGAATTGTTCGGGACCTCGCTCACACAATAATAGTAATACACTTCTCATTTGTGTTGATCATCGGCAAACCTCCCAAACCTTGAGGCCTTGTGGTGTCAAGTGCTGTACAACGTGGGTCTTGCTTATTTTTATCTAAAAAGTAAATCAAAAATAACTAGAATGGAAAACATACAGATATTGTCTATAATCTGTATCGACCATATAAACTATATTTATACGGATCTTGGAATATATCTTCTAAAACTGAAGACTATATCAATAACGAAAACTGATAGGACTCTAATCAGTGATTTTACTACACTTGTCACTTGTTGCCTTCTGACAAGAAAATGTTGTGTTATCCGTAGGTATAAAGATAATTCTCATACTAACCTAACCAAATCTAACTGTTAAATGTATATTGTACACTGTATAACTGTATTATACACTGTGAGGAATTTATTCTGTACACTATTAACTTTGATTATGTACCTACAACAATGACGGGAGAAGGGGAAAATTGGGGCAGCTGCCACGGGAGCACACGAGTTGCTTCCTAAAAAATTCATGTATTTTAATTAAGGGTTCTTATACAACTAACAAAAATAAGTTAATTTTATAAATCAATAAATGTTGACTTCGAAGTTATTCACTTCGAGTTCGATATAAATTATTTTTATTTAGTGAATATCTGTAATTATTAATGTACTTTTGTAGTTGTGGTCGGTATCACTCGCATTAAGTAAAATATCATCATTTTCGTTAATTTTTAAATATGCTGTACACGTTTTAACGGTACATTTCCAACGTTGAATGTTATTGGCCAAACATTTATGAAAACAGAACTTATATTTATCAATTATTTTCAAATGTTTTTGTTTTTCACTAATAATATTTTGCTCTTCCATCTAAAAATTAAACAGTTATCACAGCTCACGTAGGTATAGGAAAAAGTAACGAACGAAGACTGAACTGCAGTAAAATACATACTAAAGAGCAATCATTAATAGTAGATACCGTACATAATCAAGTATTTTATATCAGCTTGGTAAATCTTGAACATTGTGAAACTAAATGATATACACACATAAATATAATTACAAAGCTTTACCGATGTAGTATAGGTAGAATAAAGGTCGTAATTTATTGTTCACGATTTCGATAAACGAATTTGCTATCCATTATTTTAATTTATATTACTATCGAAACATAAAATTAGTGCCCAGGCTACCTTATAATAATTAATACACCACGGAGAACCCCTGAAACGAAATAAAACTCTACTTCCTAACAAAAATATATAGTGGGACGCAAATAGTGTATAACTTTTTTACGGGACGCAACTAAGGTGCCCTGGTTGCCACGGGTGTCACGTGTTAAATTATAAATAAGGACCCACGATTCTGATTTAACTGAACTTAAAATAAATTAATAATAGAAATTATTAGACTCAACATTAATTTGGCCCACGGTCTTAAAATCTCTACCTCCGTCAGTGACCTACTATCAACGTCCATTACCCTGCCCCCCCTCCATCCAGAAATGTGTGATTTTTTTCATGCTTATAATTAGTACGTAAATTGTATGAATTTATACGAAGCTCGTTCACCGAGAAAAATTCGTTTTTTGCGGGAGGGGCTGGAATAACATTATTCCAGCTCCTCCCACCAGTAAAAATACAGGTTTTACAAAAATTTATTTTGCGAATAATTAGTATGTAATTTGTATGAATTTATACGACCATTTTTTGAATTTATACGGAGCTTGTTCACCGAGAAAAGTAGTCTTACAAATTCATACAAATTACGAACTAAATATAAGCATGAAAAAAAATCACTCATTTCTGGATGGGGGGGGGGCAGGGTAATGGACGTCTACTATCACCATATTTGATTAAATTTTTAATTTTATAAATCATATATTCATGTGTACTTTATTTATTGAAGTAAACTGTTAAGTATTATTATAACAGCAATTTAAAAGTATTTCATTTTTATAAGCTAAATGTAAATATTTATTTTCAAATCCCTAACCCATAATTGAACAATTCTGCATATGCCAATGATCGTAATAGGATAAGTGTTATGGCAAATGACAAAAACAATGAAAATTCCTTAACTAATTAGGGAATGCAATAAATAAATATAAAAAATGGAACTGTTTGTTATTTACCCTTTGTGTTCGATTTTTAACAAATAAATTGTTAAATGTATTCATTCACACTAAAATTATACGATATTAAATAGGTTATGTGGTTTTAATGTTGCACGATTAAACCATATATGAAGAGCAGAAAAAAATGTGTCTCCGTGCTAGACATTTAGTTATTTTGTAAAATTTTACATGCAATTCATACAATTATACATAGCATACGAAAAATTTCTATGTATATTATTGACTGTGAAGAAAAATTGTATTTGCTGTAGTTCGTACGTAAAAAATGAACAAGTGCAATTCTTCCATACTTATATGTATACTC